TCCATACACATTTCTTTTGTTCTCATAACTACTGTGTAAGAGATTAGGTAACTGTAAGATTGAAACATCCGCAGAATGAGAGATGCCAATGAATAATTTTCTCATTTACTTAACACCAAGGGTAAACCATTAAGGGCTTATGTTCTGTTCTAGGCTCTGCTAAATTACTTCTGTTTGTCTGTTGAAAATAGGTCCTGAGGAGAAGTAAATCACTAGCCTTGATGAGGGAAATTAAAATTGCCTTACCCTCATGCTAGTAAAAATGAAATATGTGGAAACATATATAGGTGATGTGTGGGTTCAGCAAAACTTGGTAGCTGGACACATATTTTCAGAGTCTTTGTGATATCCTAAGGATCACCTAGGAGTTGTCTTTCAGATGGAGAAGCGCACACTTGTTAAAAGTTACTTAAATTGAGTCTTTTAGTAGCAGTTGCCTTAAGGAGGTAAATAATCCATTTCCACACACCTGCCCTTCAGCACTGTTGATGCTCGGAGTCCAGGGAGGCTCCAGGAACCACAGCCTGGCCCAGAGGTGTTAAAACCAACAGAGGAGAAGGTGAACAACCTTAGCACCTCTGTCACTGCTGGGGAATTTGCCTAATTTGAGCCGCTCATTTAAAACCTCGAGCGCTGGTGATTTTAACAGTGTTTCTGATGGCTCGGCCAGCTTCTGTCGGTGGAGTTGCAAATGCGTTCCGGCGGTGGGGCTGTGGCTGGGGGCAGTGACCCGGCGGTGCCGGGGTCGGTGCCGGGGTCGGTGCCGGGGGTCGGTCGGTGCCGGGGGTCGGTCCCGGCGGGTTCGGGGCTCAGGTGGGGCCGGGCGCGCTCCGAGCGCGGCGTGCGCCACCTTGTGGCGGCGGGCGCGCACTGCGCCCCCAGCGCCGCCCCGGCCGCGTCACCCGTGTCACTTTTGTGTCCTCGGCTGTGAGATCCTGCCCCGGCTCGGGGCACTGTCACCTGTGTCACTTTTGTGTCCTCAGCTGCGAGATCCTGCCCCGGCTCAGGGCACTGTCACTGTGTCACTTACCTGTCCTCAGCTGTGAAATCCTTCCCAGCTCAGGGCACTGTCACTTACCTGTCCTCAGCTGCGAGATCCTGCCCCAGCTCAGGGCACTGTCACCTGTGTCACTTATGTGTCCTCAGCTGTGAGATCCTGCCCCAACTCAGGGCACTGTCACTTACGTGTCCTCAGCCATGAGATCATGGTCCATGGAGGCACACACCACAGCGCTGGCCTCTCGCTGCTGATGTGTGTCTTACTCTCCAGGTTTGTGTCAGGGCTTGGCATTCCAATTCCAAAAGTTGGGAACGTGGTGCAGGATTTAAGCACTGAGAGTTTTCATTACTGATATTTCTGCACTGTGTAGAAACCATTTCTGCACCATTGCCATCAAGGAAATGGGAGACAAGCGTCAGTGATAGTGGTGTCAGGACTTGATTGCAAATGGTGATTTTCCTTGCTGCCTGTCCTGTTAGAGCTTCACAGACAGGGACCCTGCATTAACCATCTCAGAGGCACAGGTAGTGACAGCATCTCTCAAGGTAGCTAATGTAATTTTGAGCAAAACCTGTGATTGATTGTTCTGGAAACTTCAACAAGAATGGTGTTGTTGGCATGGACATAGAAGAATAGGTTCTTGAAAACACCCATTTGTACCTTATATGGCTGCATGGGAAGGGTTAAAGATAAATGTGTGATCTTGATTACTATAAAATTAAACCTTATTTTTATAAGAGTGGTAAGAGGAGAGCTGGAGTTTACCCAAAGCCAGCATTTCAAGGTGGCTGTTTGTGTTGTTACCAAAGATATTTCTAGCTTGCTTACAAAATGAGGTTTTTTTTAGAAAATGCTTTTATTTTTGCAAGTACTCAGTCTAGCTTCTGCGGAAAGCTAGCTTTTGTCTAGCTTTTTCTTGTGGAAAAAAGTATTACAGTTAAATTGTTGTGGAAGGTAGCTGCACAGTTACCTTCCAGAAGGTTTTTAATATTGAGTTGAAGCAGTCTGGGTACATTGTTTGCCATAATATTTCTGTGGGGGGGTAAAAAACATCTGTACATGGATGCTGTTCCTGCAGTAACTGCTATTCCAGAGGAGAATCAGGGACAATAACGGATATAAATCTTAGGGGTTTTTCCTGGAGGAATCAACAATAAAAAGTGTTTAGGCTATTAAGATACCTGCAAGAATATCCTCACTCTAGAGCTGTCGGTTATAAAGTTATAGTGCATTCCGCCTTCAAAATGGTTGGAAATCCGTCATAAATATCTCTTTCCCACATCCCCTCTATCTCCCTGGATGATTGGCTTTCTAGCAAAGCCTTCCGTAGAGGGTGTACTGTAATCCTTTTACGTTCCTCCTTCAGTGCAGATTACGCAGCGAGAAATAATTAGGAGATTAATTTTCACCTGTCACTGCCAATAATAGATAACCTTGATACAGTGACAGGGCGAGGAATTTGGGGGGAGCGGAAAAGTGCTTAACCCTGTAGTGATTGCTGCAGGGACCAGGCAGAAAATGGTTGCCAGAACATGACCTCCCTGCTCGCTGTCAGGCGAGGCAGAGGCGTGTGAGGCTCTCCCGCGGACGCTTTGCCTTTATCCGTGAGCGTGCGCTGCGAAATTCGCTCTGTGCCGCAATGGTGCCTCGCGCTAATCAGCCCCGAGCAGCCGTCGGAGACCTTTGTAGCTTAGTCTTTTAATTCAAATGCAGTTCTGTTGCTTTTCATGATTTCAATTCCCAATCTGACTGGTATTCCTAGGCTGCGAGGGAAAGGAGCAAACTAATGAAGATGGCTTCATTAGGCAGAGCGTGGTTTAGCCCTTGCTTCTCTCCAATAAATGCAGCTGAAAAAACATCCCAGAAGTAACTGGGGTTTTGGTCTTCAGAGAAAGCAGAGCTGAGGTGTTTCTGCTCCCTTTCAAAATTAATTACTAGCTCTCATCAGGTGAGCTTAAAAATGCAGCCTGTGCTCTAAGGCACTGAAGGTAAATGGGAAGGGGAAAAAAAAGCCACTCTCCCCCCCACACACACACATACTATCTTCTTTTTTATTTTTTTCTCTTTTGTGCTTAAGTTTACAATCTGTTGAAAATGTAATGGGAAACCAGCCTACAGAAAATGCCATTATTCATATCATCGTGAGCTCATTTATTTTATCTGCAATAGTAATGATAAGACAGACTGCTTGGCAATGCTGATAAGCTGAGAAATATCTTAGAGCTATTTGTAAAAGTTAAAGCAGATCTTGGTACTGAGAGATAGGGAAACTGATGAGCCTTTGGGCAATCTGCAGAACTGAAAGCTAATAAAGATTTTAATAGGAAGGCCTCATTAGGATTAGGGAGATCTATTATCTGCGATTTACACAACACAAACAGTGGGGCAAGTTCAATTTTTGCTTCTTTGTTCATTAAATACTATTGCTGAATGTGAAGCCTTTTAACTCGGATCTGGATCTCTTCCTCTTCAAGGAGCCATCACCAGTTGATGGTTGAGCAAAGATAAAAGGGGCAGCTGATGTGGGAATGTGTTTGGCACACAGGAGTAATGCCAGCAAGCCCTCATAGCTGAGGATCAGTTGTTTGTTGGAGGTATAGAAATGCAGTTGTTTGTAGGTGCCTGGGTGGCAGGGCTCTCCTTAGTGTCTTTTTTTTTTTTTTCTGTTGTGAACAATATTTTTAAACTTCTGGCCCTGAACAGCATCTTTAGAAAGAAATAAGCACATTGCTGTTGCGCTGGTTCTCTGGAAGGTGACGCTGAAACGCTGCTATTGACAGCCTGGCCACCCAGCTCACCTCGTGGAGTGGCTCCTTCATTAATCGTGATCACCTCATGGATCTGTTCTAGTAGAGGAGCTGACTCCAGTGCCATTGCTGTGGTAGGAGTGTGTGCCATGGGTGACCTGAGACAATGGTTTGGCAGTTACACTCAGCACTGATCATACCAGGTGCATTCTTAGACATGTGATGTAGAAAACCTTTCTTTGAGAGGTTGTGCAGACACCTCATGGGCTCAATTGCTTTAGTCCTCATATGTAACATGGGTGAGGTACATGTAAACTGCTGAAAGAACATTAGTTTGCCTGGCTTTACAGGTGTATTTAATTTTTTTTTTTTTTTCAAGGACCATCCAAGTATTTTTTTGTGGTTGAACTGAATTGTAAAGCAGGAGCAGAAGTTGTGCTGGAAATTCTTTGGTTTGCATTTGAGGTCCAAACCATGTTGTAACTTGATTCTGCTCACCTGCAGGTGAAACCATTTTTACCACAGGTGGTGAGAGCTAACTGAACCTCTAATGCAGATGAAGGGCTTTGTTAGGTGACATCCATGCTGGATGTGAGAGGCCAGGTGTGACCACACTTGTTTTTGGGAGCAGTCTGTTTTTGGCTCTGTGTACAAGAGTCTTAGCTTCTCCCCATTTTCAGGGCACACACCAGCTCCCTGCTGAGTCAGATAACCCCAGTGGCACCTACAGTAACATTGTGTCCATGGAAAAGTAATATTTGGAAAGATGTTCTTGTAATCTTTAATACGATGTAGCAGCCAAAACCCAAAGAGGACCACAGCACCACCAGCCACAGAGAAGTCTATTCCAGATCATAGTTTGAGTTCTGCTGGTTCAAACCGAGCTTGCATAGGACCTACAGAGGACGGTGCAATGATAGATTTAACCCCAAGTATTCCATCCTCCATGTGCTTAAGGAACTTGGAGCAGCTGGAGCTGTTATCCCCTCCCCTTTGCCGTCAGCAGTGTGGAGACAGATGGGCAGGGCTGGGAGCACCTCCTGCCCAGCACTAAAATAAGTTTCTGGCAGTGGGTTGGTGTCAGCCTGTTGTACCTGGTCTGTAAGCACTTACAGGTTCTGTCGGCCAACCAGCGTGGCCTCCCAAGGCAGTAGTGCTGTTTGCACCTAACGTGTTGCTCCAGCAGGGCTGCCATTTGAGACGTTTCTAATATTTATGTTTGATATGAATGAAACTTTTTGTTTTGTCTGTAGACCGCAACGGAACTGGAGCTGACTCGTATCAGGAGTGCCTTGATAACAAGCAAGGTATGAGATCAAGTCTCTCCAACATGGGCACTTGGGACTGATTTAGCTTGATTTCTTGCAGCTGAATTGGTTGCTGTCTCTGTCTCTCTCACTCTGTCTCCCTTTTTTTTCCCCCCTTTTTTTTTCCCCCCACTGTCTCCAAGCCAATTCACTGTTAACAGTTCCATGTCAGCTAACCTGTTAGCTCAGGGTCTCATTGCACATTTGTGATAAGTCTTCTTGTTTCTAGCACCCCAAACCCTCAGCTGTTAATGGAGGAAGTGAGAAGATTGTAAAACAGAAGTAGCATGTGCAGTTGCTTGCAGCTGTCTTCTTCCTCGAGGTTTAGTTGCACAGCCAGGCAGAAAAATATTAAAGCTGAGCTTAGGGAGGGCACGTGCTAGGCTGGCTTACCTTAACACCAGACATCCTGGTATAATTTGTGTGCCGACATGCTGCCTCAGACTTGTCCAGCCTGCTGTCTTCTGCCATGCTAAACTTGGTAAGAGCTGGAAACATCTCTTGTGATTTACAAGAGAGTGATGACGGTGAAGGAGGAATCTATTATCCTTTTGCTCTAAACCTGGAAACAAGAGTCACAGCAGTAAAAATGAAAATTGTAAAGAGTACCTCGGAAACAGGACTTCAATGGCAAAATCATGGATGTTGGATTTAAGAAAAGGGTTGGTGTGTTGTGTTCTGTTCTGTTCAGCTACCTCTCTGAGAACTGCAGTCAGAAGTGCCACTCCATCGCTGTAGCCATGTAGTAAGTGTTGAACCTTCTGGTAATCAGGGAGCATAAGCACCCTTCAGTCCAGAACATCATTCATCATAAGCCGCAGCAAAGAGTTTAGAGGAAATGCTTATCCTAACCAGTTTATAGGCATCAATTACAGGTCAACTTTTACCCTGCTGTTGACCCAGATCTGTGAAAGTAGCTAAAATTATCATTTCCTGAAATTCTGATCTATCTTGTGTAGTTTTCTAAAGAAGGACCAAGAAACACAAAAAAACTGTCCCAATTTTGGTGCTTGGTTGGGTTTAATTTTCCACAGGTGTCTCTGCTTTCAGTATCCATCAATCAGTGTTACATGTGCTTTAAGTCAAAGCTGCCATGAAGTGCATCTCCCCTTGCTTGTTGTTGGGTTTGGGATGGGATTATTTGGGGGGTGGGGGTTGGGATTTTTTGCTTGTTTTATTTTCCTTCTCAAAAAAAAAAAAAAAAAAAAAAAAAAAAAAGAGGTACGTTGTTTCTTTGGTGGCCTTTACGATCATCTTTTTCTTCACTATTTTTCTCTACTGACTGTAGTAAATACCTAATCATTGCTAAGCTTTCATTTCAGAAGTTACAGCTGGAAGACTAATGTGGAAGAACTGTAATCAATAATGGCAATTCTTATTAGATTAAGTTTAAAAGTCTTGCAGACCAGTGTAATTCAGCAGGCTCCTTTGATAGATAATTTGTTCTTAGGAAGAACAGTTTTCTCCTGTAACATTTTTCTTGTTGGCTGGGGGAGGCTGATCCACTTGTCATTTTGTAGAAAGCAATCAAGTTTCAGATTTAAAGAAAAATGAGTATTCTCATTTTTGGAAACTAATTGCAGTCCCTTTGATATGCCAGTTACCCTGATTTATCTGACAGGTGGTATTAAATGGCGTTATATCCATTACTTTCATTTGTCTGTTAATACTACATATTTTTCTTGTAGTGTGATAGGTTTCTTTGGCTTCATTGCTAGCACATGAACAAACTGTATCATTATAGGTACTTTCAATGCAGTATGAATTGGATCTGGTTTGGGTAATTTATCCTGTCCATGCTGCATCATTGTGTTTAAAGCAACAACCTTTAAGAATGCAGAAGTTTAAAGGAAAAAGTATACACAGTAACTTGTAGTGAGTCTCTTACTGACTCCGTTACATTTTTGAGCGTGCCTTAGAGTTGAATCCACCATTTGCAACAATTTACAGAACATAAAACACATAGCTGACAGTGGACCCATAATTTTGGTTGTTTCTCTTATGTTCAAAACAAAACACCACCAAAGGCTGAAAGTAGCGGTGGCTGTTTAAAAGTATTAAATCTTCAAGCTATGTGAAATGCTATTGCCATGGATTCCTTTTATAACAGCATGCTTGTCTCCTGGAAATTATGCTATAATGAGGTTTGGTTTATATATTTTACCCCTCTCCTCATTAAAGTGCTGTCTCTCAGAAGAAGCGCTTTGTGTTTTGAAATACTGCGTGGTTAAAACCAAGGCAGGTTTATAACGATTTAATGTACTTGGGAGCCAAGGTTTTGCAGCTTTATGGCAAAGATGTTTTAACAAAGGGCTTTATGGTAAGGGTGTGCTGTATTTTAGTCAGGCAGTTGCTCAGGGGAAAATTTTCAGTGTGAGCACGTCACAACAGCAAAGAGGAATTCAGAGGGAAAGAGGCTTCCGAGATCCAGTCACCAGCTTGGCTGGTGATATTAAGGCTTAATTCTTTGTTGTTTCAAGCCCTGAATTTTTTTTTTTTTTGTCTTTCACCTCTTCACTCAAGAAAGAAAAAGCCTTGTGCCATATAATGTAACATCATAAGCAGGCCATTTATGCTTCCCATTTTTGTGCTTCAAGATAGGGTGCAGGAGAGCGTGCTGGGAACAGCCACAGGTGGGATTATTACCCCCTCTTAGAATGGAGTTTGCTTTTTCAGCCTTATAACACCAATATTCATTATTAAAATTGTACCCTAAAAGCAAGGCATTTTCTAAGTTTTTGTGGTTTGGAAGCAGAGAGAGAAGCAGTTCAAAGCAGTTGCCCATCCACTGCAGCAGAAGGTGTGTCCTGGATCTGCCTGTTTCTCTGGAATATACTTAATATCCCATGGTTTCCTGAGAGCCAGGGGGTTCTGCCATGGAAAACAGGTATAAAATTACTGCCAGACATAGTTGTTTCTGGAGCTTCTCAATAGGAACTCGCTGTTAGTTATTAAAACAGTGCTGGTGTAGAGGTTTAGGCAATGAAAAGCCCTTAGAGAGGGCCCTGGTGGCAGCCAGGAGATGTCACCTCTCATCCCTGGAACAGTGCATAGAGAAATTGAAGCCGATTCCAAGTGTTTCATGTTATCATGTGTAGCACCTTCTCTTATTCATAGAAAATGGTGGTTTATTTTGCTTGAGCAGTCTTCTCTATGTCCCTGTGTCCTCAAGTGGGCTGGTAATGGGTATTTTGCCCTAGTGTGCTCCAGCTTTCCAAGCAGAGCTCCAGGTTCCTGCTGGAGAAACCCAATACCTCTCACTTTTCCTACTTGTCCTGAGGAGTATTTCCCCACAGATGAATTAGCTGGTAATTTTCCAAGACGAACATGGCTTCATCTTTTTGATGGCACTATTAACTCTTTCTGGTTATCTTTGGATATGTTACACCACTTCCTGAGTTCAGTGCTGCTTGCTGCTGATGGATTTTGTTAGCTCATCTCAGGAGGGAGGATGAATGTAATTTGGAGCAGTGTTTGGGAGCCAGGAGGAAGGATGGTTAATCTTGATAGGGATCAAAATTGGCTGCAGTTGAGCCAATAGCACCTCTGTTTGAAGGGATGGAGGACTGAGTGCTCCTCCCCTGGGTTTGTGCTGTGAGAGGATCCCAGCTGGACTGCTGAGCACGGAGGGGATGTCTGTAGCACCAGGCTTGATTTTGAAGCCATGGCAATAAACCAAAGACTTTTTCATCCTGTTTGCAGTCCCCTGGGCTGTGCAGTCCCAGTGTGTGTCATCTTCTATTAGTCTCGATGCAACCAATGACCTTGTTTGTGTGAGCACATTAAGCACAACATTAATAGCTAATTTGACTACTTTGGATTCAGACAGGCTGCAATCCATCACCTGAACTCTCCTGATAGCAAATATGGTTGGATGGGATTAAGGAGAAAGGATAAAATGCCTGCTTGGGCCATAACTCTAGGAAATTGGAAAACTGCTTGTGAGCCTGTGTAGTTGATGAAACTGTAGCACTTGGTAGAAGCATGTTCTTCACTGGAAAAAAAAGCTGCAAAAGTGAGAAGTGTGTGGTCTTCATAGATGTTTGTTCAGCCCTCTTCCTGCCTGTCAAATACTGGCATGGTAAACGAGACCACCACGATACAGAGGCATCTTTTAGAAGGTGTTATTGGGGTAAGTTCTAACCTGTTCCAGTTTTTGGATCCCTTTTGATCCCTAACAGGATTAGTTTCAAGATGGCAAAGATGAATTATGAAGCAGATAAATAAAAATGGCAGACTGGCACGTAGCTGGACTGGAAAGTGCGGTCAGAATAGTTCTGTCACTGAAGATGTTATTTCCATTAAATGTTTAGAGATTTAATATTGATTTCAGTGAAATTACCCTTGAAAACAGATTTCCTCCAAACCTTTTTTTTATATATATTTGTTTTGGAACTATTTTAGGAGGCAGAAAAATGAAACTCCAGCTTCAAACAGTTTTTATGTTTTGAAATGGGCTCTTTTCACTGTATGAACAATTTTTAAAATATTATTGTTATTTGTATTCCAGTCATGCCTGTGCACTCCAGTTATGGGCTAAACGTCATTTTGCCAACCACAAGGCAGACTGGGGGGGATCAGTTTGCCTGAAAATGCTTTGGGGTGTATTTCTGACAGGCTGCATTGATTGCCAGTGCCTATTTGAAGAAAAACCCAACAACATTCTCATTTTACAATATGTTGGCTGCCTTTTTGTTTAAAAAATTATAAATAAATCAGCAGATTTTCCACAAAAACACATATGCTTTCTTCCTGATGAGCATGATGGTGCACCAAGAATCCTTGCAAGAGGCCTTGAGTTTCCTTCAAGTAGATGGTAGGGCTGTCGTTGAAACTGAAATTTTAAATAACTCTCTTCTTTAAGAAGGATGCTGCTGGAGCCTTGTTAGCAGAAGAATTGCCATTTTCTGACTAACTTTTTTTTTTGCCAGCATGGGAACAAAGAAAGAAAGGAGGAGGCAGAATAAAAGCCTGTGTGAGTGTACGTACAGAGCAGCTCT